TTCCCATGCTATTTAAAGTAGTTACATTGATGGCCAGGAATGTACTTCTCTCCTCATTTTTGAAGCATTACCCCAATCTTCTTTGTTATTCATGTAATGTTTCAAAAAGATGTCTTAATCCTTGCATTACTCCATTTTTGGCTTGATTGAAAGGCTTAAAAGACTGATTACCTAGCAATTTTCCCATGCCATTTGGAGTAGTTATATTGATGACCAGGAATGTTTTTCTCTCCTTATTTAAAGCATTACCCAATCTCCTTTGTGGTTCATGTAATGTTTTAGTACCTAGATCCTTGCATTACTCCATTCTTAGCTTGATTGAAAGGCTTGAAAAACTAATAACCTAGAAATTTTCCCATGCTAATTAGAGTAGTCATTCTTATAACAAATTTGTTTCTTTTAGCTAACACAAGATTAGACTTATTTGCTTCATCAAAAGCCTTTATTAATACAGTTGGCTTAAAAATCTTGAGCATGGGTTTAATATCTTAAAAAAACTGGAAATTTCGCATGACTCTAGCAATGTGTGATTCAAAGCAGTTATTAAAGATTCGATTTCTTCACATACTTTTTCATTTCTTCATCCTACACCAGCTTATTAAATTCCTTTACTATATCTTTTCTATTACCAAGCCTTATACAAATAACCTTTGTGAGTTCCTTTCAGTTAACCAAGTCATTACTTTTCAATATGAATCCTTCATGCTAGATTTCAGCCTTCCCTTCCAAGTAAAGAGATGTTATTTTCACCCATTGTTGAACTAGTGTGAAATCTTAAAAAAATCTCATATTTCCTAATCAATCCCCATGAATTCTCCCTTTTGAAAGTTAGCAATTCCACCTTTGCTAATGCTACATTATACCCCATTCTTTAAACTTCATAGCTGCACACGCTTTCCCCCCGTATGTTTATTCTTTGGTTGGGAATTATTCCATTAGAAACTTGAATGATCCTTCCTTCTTTATTTGCTTCTTAGTTGCTTATAAATGAATTTAGTGTGATCATTAGTGTTTCCATTGTAAATTGAGTTCACTCCTCTGAGCCTACTCTGGCCATTGTTTCAGATTTCCTGTCACCCATTCTTGAGATTCTTCATGTCTATATTGCATTTGTTCTTGAAATTATTCATGTATATGTTGCATCTACTCTAGTTTCTTGCCATGTTATTCCAAGGCTTTGATGCCACTTTGTTACGGTCTTACCTTAACACAGAATGAAAAACTTAGGAAATTAAGAGAGAAGTAGAAGAAAGGGAGAAAGTTGAAGTTGCAACTGCAGAATTCTGATTTCTTGTTGCTTGGATTCTGCATTTCTTACACATTTCATTATGTACAATGGAATTCCCTCTAAAACGACGACTAATAGTCTCCTAACTAACTTCTACTACTAACGAACATGGATCACAACTTCCTAACTAATAAATCACGTGGAAATTTATAGTGGTAGTTAAGTGCTGCTCATTTTCGTTTCTGACTTTTAAAACTTGTCCAGCTACTATTCTCACACTTAACTTGCTTCCACCAGCCTTTTCGACCCTTGATCTTCATGCACGTAACATAATCACATCCTAAGATCACTCCTAGACCATAATTACAATCTCTCTACATAGGTAATTATGTACAACTAATTGTCTATCAAACAATTTCCCTCAAGTAATTGCATATCAATCAATCTCTACAAATCAAGATATTGGGGCTAACATTATGCAATATTATAATATAATATGCAGTCATTAGGTAGATAGCTAAAGAGAGAGCATGCCTTCAACACTCAACAAGTCTCACATGCTGCAAATGCGGATCCTAATTATAAAAATTAGGGCAATAGTTCAACGTTCGACTTTAAAAGATGGTTGTCTAGACATAAAAACAAAGGTATACAAAATAAATCACTTGGAAAATGAATTACTATAACATTCCAAAAAAAGAGGTGACAAAATAATAATAACTTTCAGATCATTAGTTAAGGAGAAAACGACAGTGACTTCCATTAGTGTTAGGTCATATGTGCTAAGCAGAAAATGAGCACAAATGAAGTTAAATGATTCAATTGATCAAGTCACCAGTTAAGCAAAGTAAAGGACCCCATTCAAATGTCAATTAAGTAACTACTGTGAAAGCCAGTAAGTGTTAATGTAAGCTATAATTCAAGGTTGTTAGATCGCCAGTCAAGAGATGCTACCAAAGGACGAGATGGGATTAAATCCTTCCCATCTAGTCAAATGTTGAGCAAAAGGTAAAGACAGGGTAAGGTATTACAAGACCACGTTCTCCGTAAGTAGAGTGCATTTGGATGCGAACCAAAATAGATTCACTGCATGCATCACATGGCCACAAAACAACACCAGTTTTAGGTTGAGCAGTCGCGAAGAAGATAAGAGATTACACTTGCGATTGGTTAAGTAATGAAATGAAATTCAATTTCATTAGATCAGTACATCCCAAAAATTATTTCACAATCACATATATGCAACAAAAGTAACAAATGCAAGTAAAAATTATGTAATTCAGGGTCAATAGGTTACTTTCAGTGCTCTTACTAAGTTCTGTCATTATCCTATCTTGTCCCCCTTTTGATTGCCAACATAACAACAGAAGTGGTGGCACATACTTGATTAGCACCGTGTTATTAAATGCATTAGCAGAAACCTAACTGGCTTGTAATTGCAATTTTGCACAATATTAAAAAAAAAAAAAAATTGAAATGCTCAATGCAATACATATCAGCAAAGGAACCAGAATATGCAAGTGCAGATATAGATACTCATGTACAAGAACTTGTTGATCTGCTACACATATTAAAGCTATCAAGCGTGGTGATCCTTCAAGTTGCAATATGGTCACTACTAGTCAGGCAAGAGAGGTAACCTATCAATGCTGTAGGGTGATCCATTTGTGTCACCAGTGGCACTGATAAAATCATCAACTCCACTATCTGTCCCAATTGTTTCAATAAGCTTGTTGTTTACATCCATCCTAGTCTGATATGGGAGGATACGGAGGCGTGCCTCTGGCTCTGTACCAATTCTCTCTGCTTCTAATTGGTATTTTCGAATGAAATCTATCTGAAGGGACATAATGTGTGATGACCTAGGGAGCAGCTCCACAGGTTCTCCTTTTGGAATTACTACTTGCATCACAGCTATTCTTGCCTCCTGTATGAAGAGAAGTACATTGTAGAGTTGAAATGTAATAATTTATATGAACTAGGTGTTCCAAATGATAACATGATAGAGCAAAGAAGATAGCCGATGGACATCCTAATTTATTAACTGTGATCATCATGGCCTACTGTTAGTCTCTTGGACATGATAAATTCTGTTGGAAGGCTTACAATAAATCAATCAATGCGTACAAACTTCTCCAATCATTTTCTTTTCTACTTTCTATGTTCTGTATTTCCCTGTTTCTTTATTATTTTCAACTAGACAAAAGGAAAACATAAGCACTAGACAGAAATGATACTGTTCAAGATTCAACAATGAAAATATGCAAGGCAATGTTAAACAGGAAGACTGCCCCTTCTGGAGAGGGAAAAAGAAATTTGTAAACTATATGGAATTTAGAAGAGATCTTCTAAATCAAATGCAACAGACTCAGATCTAACAGTATGCACTCTTTCTTGAAGATCATATAATAAATTGAGTACACACCATCCAAATTCCCTTTCAATCATCACTGGCCTAAAGATCACCCACCCACATTGAGAATAGACTTCGCGATAGAAACCAAAAAAAATAGATCCAAATACTATATGTCCACACACAAACACATATTAATGCATTGAATATCCATAGAGAAGCAGCTTTGTTTAATTTCAAAAATAAAAAAGTCCATTGAAATGAGCACATTCTTGCAAAAGAAAAACCAGCTTGCAGTGATCGTCTCACAACTGATCAAATTTGTTTTCCACACTAAAGCATGATTATGTTGCCAATTATCAAACAGCCATACATTTATGCTGCTCTAGAAGAAGAAAAGGAAAAGAAAACAAAAGAAAAAGGGTAGGGAGTGAAAGGAAAACCAAATCTTAGTTTAAGCTTCATAAAACCATTGGTAATAAATATAATGGAGCTGAGGTATTAAATTCTCGATTGGTTAGGTGGTAGGAGGTGCTTTTCCACCAACCACCAAATTAAAGGTGTTTGCTAACCATGCAAATGCATTTCAAAAGCCATTTAAAACTGGTTAAACTATTATTTAGAGAAACCACATATTGAAGCTTTCAAGGTTTTTGAAAGGCTTGAGTATTATTTTGCATTTAAAACTATGGAGAGTTGTTAAATTCTGACTTCTCACTTTATTTCATAATGAATTGTTGAATATATACAACATCTACATATCTATATTAGGACAACTATTAACTACATATAAATAGGTATTATTGCTAGGTTCTAATTTATAGGAAAGGATATCTGACTTTCTGTTTTTACTCCCAACAAATCAGCTTCAAATCTGTCTTAATTACTTCAGAATCTTCAACACTCCCCCTCAAGCTGGATGGAAGAGATCTTTCATTCCCAGCTTGTCCAAGGTTTTTTTGAACATAGGATTCTGAACACCTTTAGTAAGTATGTCAGCAAGTTGTTCTCCGGTAGGCACATAGGGAGTGCATATCAATCCACTCTCTAACTTTTCTTTGATGAAATGTCTGTCTATCTCCACATGTTTAGTTCTATCATGTTGTACTGGATTGTGAGCTATTGCAATGGTAGACTTATTGTCATAGTACAACTTCATTGGTTCATCCCACTTAATTCTTAAATCTTCTATGATAATCTTCATCCATAGCAACTCACAAATTCCAAGGGCCATTGATCTGAATTCTGCTTCTGCACTTGATCTTGACACAACACTTTGTTTTTTGCTTCTCCATGTCACAAGATTTCCTCCTAGAAGAGTACAATATCCTGATGTTGATCTTCTATCTGTTAATGCACCAGCATAGTCTACTCCTGGAAAAGGAATTTTGTATAAAAATCATGGGAATCTAAGTATCAGAGCCTAAACCTAGACTATATTTTTAGCCTATCTCTCTCTACATCAGAGTCTAAATCTGGGATTCCTCCTCTTCCATTCCCATCTGTCCTGACAATTCTAGTCACTTGCTCTAGCAGACCTGTCCAGATCTGAAAAAACATGTCTGAAAACACTACAAAAGAAACTCAAATATCAGGGGAATTCCAAAGTTTACAGTCATCGTATAGACTGAATGGAAGAAACTATCTAAAGTGGTCACAGATAGTAAAAACTTTTCTAAAAGGAAAGGGAAAGATTAATCATTTGATGGACAATCCTCCTAGTCCAGAAGACCCAAAGTTTACACTTTGGGATGAAGAAGACTCCATGATTATGTCATGGCTATGGAACTCTATTATGCCAGAAATTTGTGGGCCTTATATGTTTCTAGTTACAGCAAAAGACATATGGGATGCAGTGAGACAAACCTACTCTAAAGTGAAGGATGTTGCGTTAATCTATGAGATTAAGATGAAGCTTTCAATGACCAAACAAGGTAATATGATGGTTATTGAATATTACAATACTATGAAAAGTTTCTGGTTGGAATTGGACTATTATCAGGATTTTAAGATGCAGTGTAGTGATGATGCTGTGATTTTAAAGAATTATGTAGAAAGAGAAAGGATCTTTGAATTTCTTGCAGGACTCAACATAGAATTTGATCAAATGCGAGTCCAAATACTTGGAAAGGAATCCCTGCCCTCACTCAATGAGGTATTTTCAGTAATAAGAGCTGAAGAAGGAAGGAGAACTGTGATGCTTGAGGTCCCAAATACTGAAGGTTCTGCTATGATGATAACTAATAGAAAAAACCTAAGTGATGCTAGCAGAAACCAAAATGATGTCATGAATGGTGCAGAAGTGGTGAAGACTGAAGGGAGAAAATTCTTTAAGGATGATCAATTTTGTAACTATTGCAAGAAAACAGGTCATACAAAGGAGACCTGCTGGAAACTCCATGGAAAACCACCAAGGATGGGACGTAATGGAGGATACAAATGGAACCATTCAAGAGGACATGCACACTTAGCAAATTCAGAAGAGGCAGCACATGAGTCGAGCACCCTAGAGGTGAGAGGATTCAACAAAGAGGAGATTGAATGCCTAAGAACCTTACTCAACACAATGGAGAAACCATCTGGATCATGCTCTCTTGCTCAAAATGGTAAAATTCCAATTTCTCATGTCTTTAGTGCCTCAAACAAGAACCATTCCAGCATCTGGGTCATTGACTCAGGTGCAACAGACCATATGACTTATTCTGCAGGTGCCTTCACATCATATCAACCCTGTCCTAGCAGTAAGAAAATCACAGTAGCTGATGGATCTCTAACCACAGTTGCAGGCCAGGGAACAATCCCTCTTAATCCTGTATTTACTCTTAAAAGAGTATTGCATGTTCCTAATCTTACTGCAAATCTGTTGTCTATCCGAAAACTAATTAAAGACATAAATTGTAGTGTAACTTTCTTCCTTGATCACTGCATATTTCAGGACCTAGCTACGGGGAGGACGATTGGGCAAGCTAGAGTCAAGGATGGGCTGTGCATGCTTGGAGTGCAAGACAGCAGTAGTAACTCCCCTTCTCTATCATTCATTTCAGTTAATTCTAATAAAACTGATGTTTGGAATCATCATCGTCGTTTAGGACATCTATCATTTAAGACTCTTAGGAACATGTTTCCATCTTTATTTAAAAATCTTGATGTTGAACAATTTCATTGTGAAATCTGTGAATTTGCAAAGCACCATAGAGTGCCTTTTCCTCTAAGTGATTCAAGATCCATGTCTCCATTTACTATAATTCACTCGGATATATGGGGTCCATATAACATTCCTAATATTTCAGGAGCAAAAGGTTTTGTAACATTTATTGATGATTGCACTCGAATGACTTGGGTTTACCTTCTTAAAAGAAAATCTGATGTGAGTCATATCCTTCCAAACTTTACAAACATGATAAGGAATCAATTTGGGGTTAGCATTAAGGGTTTTAGAACTGATAATGCTAAGGACTACTTTAATCAGATTTTATCATCATACTTTGAAAAAGAAGGGATTATTCATCAATCATCTTGTGTTAATACTCCCCAACAAAATGGGTTGGCAGAAAGAAAAAATAGGCATCTCCTTGAGACTGCTCGAGCTCTACTTTTCCAATATCAAGTTCCAAAAAATTATTGGGGAGAAGCAGTTTTAACCTCTACATATTTGATAAATCGAATACCTTCAAGAGTTATTGGTTTTAAAAGTCCTTTAAACTATTTGTCAGAATTCTTTCCAATGAATAACTTTTATTCTAAAATTCCCCCAAGGATCTTTGGGTGTGTCACCTATGTTCACATTCATAAAAATCAACGAGACAAACTTGATGCTAGAGCTCTAAAGTGTGTTTTCATAGGATATTCTATCACACAAAAAGGTTATAAATGTTATCATCCATCTTCAAAGAGATTTCTTGTGTCAAAGGATGTAAGTTTTAATGAAAATCAGTCTTTCTTCCACAAATCTTCTCTTCAGGGGGAGGAAACAACACAGAAGATAAGACTAACAATGACTTTGACATTTTTTCATTCCAAATCCCATCTAGGCAACAATCATCTCCCATTTCACCATCCTGTGAGTCTCCAAATATTACTCTGCAGGGAGAAACTACTGCTGACAGACCTCTTCAGGTATATAGAAGAAGGATACAGCCTAATTTGACTCTCTTGCAAGCCCAAGACTCCGAACCAGAGCAAGGTAATGAACTTTCTCATTCGTCTCTACCTATTCCTGACCTTAATCAACCAATTGCTATTAGAAAAGGAAGAAGAGAATGCACTAAGAATCCCTTATATCCTATAGCTAATTTTATGTCATTTCAAAAGTTCTCACCATCACACAAATCCTTTCTCTCAAAAATAAACACCATACCTATTCCAAAAACCTTATATGAGGCTCTGATACCATATGGAGAGTTGTTAAATTCTGACTTCTCACTTTATTTCATAATGAATTGTTGAATATATACAACATCTACATATCTATATTAAGACAGCTATTAACTACACATAAATAGGTATTATTGCTAGGTTCTAATTTATAGGACAGGATATCTGACTTTCTGTTTTTACTCCCAACAAATCAGCTTCAAATCTGCCTTAATTACTTCAGAATCTTCAACAAAAACCTTTTCACCTGACACATTACCAAACACCTTTTGCATCCACATTTGTAGCTACAACCATAGCTAACTGCTAATAGTTGTACCAAATGGGACCTAAGAAACAGCCACTCTTAGAATAACAACTTGATGATAGTAACACCTTAACCATGCAGTCCAGTTTATGTGAAAAGATCATATTTCAGAGAAAGAATTTATATCTTCTTATATCTCGATCACACTACTACAAAGACTCTTGATGTTTTCCAAAATAAATAAACAAGTTGTGGGTCATTGATTCCCCAAAACAAATTACAACTATCATATACAGGAGTTTGGTTTATGGGGGTGATAGTGATATTTCTTTAGTAGTGAGAATAGTCTGCAGACAGGAATTCCTACTAGGAAAGCAGGTAACAGGCAAGGCAAGGAAAGAAGGGACAGGTAGCCATAGTACACTTTCTTAGGAAGTCATGAATGTCCTAAGGGAAATCTTCTTTCTTTCTGGCAGCCCTGTTTCCCCAACAAGAAAGTAAACTAGCATACCATCCTCAAATCAGTCCTTCCCATAGGGTTATTGGAAGAGTATTTTTTATTGTATTCTTAAAGGAATAGGGTCCACCTGAGGCTGTCAAAACCCGTTCTATAGACACTATACAGGAACCACCCCCCCCCCAATTGACAGGTTGTGTTTTTTGTCGAATTTTAACAAAATTCAAGTGTCAAACTTGTTGACTTATGAAGTCAAGATCAAGGTATTGATTCGAGGGTTTAAGCAAAATATTTCAACTTACATTTATTTTCTGAGGATTTTTAGAAACTTGCATTGTATTGCTCCTCATAGCACTACAAGTTATAGTCTTAATGACTTACACCGTTACATTGGCTTACAATAAAGTTAGGTTTGTGTTTATTTAAAATTTCAGTTAATTTCTCTAATCAACTTCTCTGCAATTGTTTAGATAATAGTTTAGATTTTCTTTTTTCTTTTTCTTTTTTTGGACCTTCAATTCTTCATTTGTATTAGGCATGTCATGTAACTTTGATGCCAACTCGTTGAATTTATAGAGATGTGTGAATTAATGAATAACAATTCACAACAGCATATGCCATGAGCATTAGCAATAACAATTCACAACAGCATATGCCATGAGCATTAGCAACTCCCATGGTGGCCTGAACGTTATGGCATTGACCGAAACATAAATCATCGTTAACGCACTCCATCCACAAAATATATTAATCAATAATAAATATTTCAAAAACACAACTGAAAGTAAACTCTTACCTCCAGGGCATCTATCTTCTCTGACAATTTTGTATTCTCTTCTGTTCTAGAATCCTTCAATCCATTAGCATGACTGCTCATCAATGCCCTTATGGCCTTTGTTATTTGCTCCAAGGAACTTGTCTACCAAAAGAAAGAAAACAGGTTTCACCATATTGAAAATACATAGCTGTAGCTGAGGAAATAGATAACTATTGGTTTGATCATATAAACCTTTGTCACATAAATGGGTATGTCGTGAGATTTGGCAGCAGCTTGAATCTTGGCATTTTTCTTGAGCTTAGACTGCAAGGCAAGTAGTGCATCTGCATCGCTGATGTTATCAGTTAATCGAACTGCAGCATCCATTTTCAACTGATTGATCCCTTGAATCACACTTGTCTCCAAGATCTAGAATAACTGCTCTTTATGTAAGTTCCATATCCAGTATATTCATACTATGCAGCAGTAATCAAGTGCCAAAAATTGAAAATTTAATTAACTTCAGGTGAGATACAAAGTCTAGTTCTACTTTCAAAATAAAATGTAGGATCAATTTTTTGGAAGAGAAAATTTAGATCTTGATAACTGGCTCATGCAAACTTCAGCCCAGCTTGCTCTATCATGTTTAAAGATATAAACTAGCTATCTAGTACTACAAGTGACCTCGTACTGACAAATAATTAAGTAGGAATAGCCATTGTAGATATTCATCGAGCTCCAAACTATCTTGAGACTGGAGATAACTTCCTTATAAAGGACAAATGTTATTTTTAAAAGAATGGAAAGGGACATAAAAAAATAAAAAACATATGTGGTACAATTTCTAGTATCCCAATGAAAAAAGAAAAAGAAAAAAGATAAGTTTTTGGTGAATTTCTTTAACAGTTTACTTAAAGAAAACAGAGAATGCAGAAAAGAATGAAGCATGAAAAAATTAGCTATAACATAGCCCTGCCCTCTTTTACTAATGATGTTCCGTTAAACGACTGTCAAAAATGAGCTCCAACTTATCTTGAGACTAGAGATTACTTCCTTAGCAATGACAAATGTTCTTTTTAAAAGAATGGAAAAGGATACATACATAAATACATACATACATACATACATATATATATATATATATATACAAGTGGTATAATTTCTAGTATCAGAATGAAAAAAGAAAAAGAACAAGTTTTTGGTGAATTTCTTAACATTTTACCTGAAGAAAACAGAGAATACAAAAACAGACAAAGCATGAAAAATTTAACTATAACATAGCACTGCCCTCTTTTATACAGTAGTGTTCCTTTATACGACTGTCGATAATGTGTAGTAGAAATAAATAGAAGAGATGAGGGAGCTAGCAACACATTCAATCATAAACTTTGTAATGAGAAATAAATTGCTTATTAATGAGATTTCAATTTTATAATTTCTTTTTCTGTTTTCTTTTCTTCTTCTTTTTTATTATTATTTTTTAAAGGATGTCATTTTCCTGAAATCAGCTGGCTTTGCAAGCTTTATCTACTTGCTATGAGATGGTTTAAAGTCATCAACATACATCTCCTATCAGTCCCAAAGGAAATTCATTTCCTATCTCATTAAACATAACTTGCATATAGAAAGAAACAACCACCCGATTACAAATAGAGAACATTCACTCCAAAAAGCATGCTTACCCCATAGACATACAGGCAAAGTGGTACTTCATGTTCCAAAGAACTGTCTCCCATGTCCGGAGGAGACTCAGAAGTAAGTTCATTATGACCAATCCTTTCATCTGTCAAGTGGAGATCTTCAACCAAAACTTGATCTTTCTTTTCAGCAGATGTTTGAAAGGCAGGTTCCCTTTCTATGGTTTTTTTTACTCCCTGGGAACTCATTTTGCAAACTTCCACATGTGGGGAACGACCTTCCACAGAAACAGTGTCAACAAATAAGGCATAGAGAACAGATCAGGGGGTGAGGGCGAATTGTTAGTGGCAGAAAATCAGCACATGTCAATGGCAGATTCTTGGCAGTTATTGTGCCTGAAAATGGGGAAGTTTTTCCCCCATTTTCAGCTAATAGAGAGGTTTAGAGAGAGCGAAGGGAAACAGAAAACACACTAAACATGTAGTAGAAGGAGCTGCCTTCATTGGTGGCAGAAGGAGCTGTCTTCATTGGCAGAAGCAGCTGCAGAATGGCA